CCAAACATTTAAGAAAAACAATTTAGGAGCAATGACGTTAAATTACGCATACGTTTGTACGGGCTCTTCCTAGAATCCATGCATCATTATAATTAAAGACAAGATATAAAAAAAAAATTAACTGATTCAGTAAAGTGTATTATCGCTATTTTACGAAATTTTCCTTTGATCTTGCTGACTGATAATTTCCTTTCTCAGCGGAGTCGAGTGATATGAAAATTTATCGCTAGAAACTAAGGGGGCCAGTGGCGTTGTCAATGAAATTGACATGAAATTGACAACGTCGTCATAGGTAAAATAGCGATAAACAGATTATCATTGGTCATCTCAACTCGATTGCTTTTCTCACTTTCGCCGTACCGGCTCAAGCGAAAAATCAATCTCGTTGAGATGATCAACGATAATCTATAAATCATATGTTTTCTTGAAGATGCGTCCTCCATTTGATAAAATTCTACGGAAAGTGACAAAGTACTATCAGAAAGATGCATCAGTGATCTGAACTTTTACCTTTAACAAAAACAAAAGTATCTTGAAACAAATTATAGAAGTATGCTAAAAAAAAAGAAGAAAAAGCAAGTCGTGTACACCTTTTACATTCCGGCTTGTTTGAAACTCTTGTTTTAATCTTATAACTTTTAAATAAAAAATGAAAATATAATCTCGCTTCAGATTCCATTATTTTTATTTTTTCAAACTTAATTTTGATTTAGTAGCTTTAAGAATTCATCGTTTGAGAGATAAATATATGGGTCAAGAGAAATGAAGTAATGGTCGGTGCATTTGATTAACTGAATTAATCATTCCCTTTAAAGGTTGTTGTCAATGAAATAAATCATCCCAAATTTAATAACAAAATATGTAAAGAATTAAAATAGTAGTTTGTGCTAATTTTTAAATAGCATCTATTCCAACATAGTATGTGTATTCAACGAGCCAAAAATTCATGCAGTCTATGATCCCCTCCGTCATCCTTCAATGCTATAGGCCGAGATACGGTCAGATAGGTTGGTTATGTCGAGTAATGTCATTTTATTGGAAATCTCTAATAGGCGAGTGACATATTGCAAAAAGACGCTTAGTTAACGACTTTAATGCACCCACCTAACACACGGCTGTATTACATATCATTCGAAAGCTTATTATCTGTACTTTCTGTTTTGCCCGGTCGTAAACAAATCGTACGGTGCTTTTTCTGTTAAATCAAGGTCAAAGGTCATGAATAAACATTCAAATTGTTTGCGATTATTAAACAAAAAGCCATTTTCTAGTTCCTGTACCATAATTTTTTCCAAAAGATCATATGCACTTTATATAACATGGTACATTATTTTTAAATCATACAAAAACCAAGAGGTTAGTTGCGCAATATTTCCCGAAAATTGAAATTCATAAAAAATCAAAAAAAAAAAAAATGAAAAAAATGTTCCAACAGCAAAATATATCTTGGGGAATCGATATGTGTATGCTAAAACATAGATAAATATATATTGTTTAGGTCAAGGAATATTTGTTTTATAATTTGAAGATGCAATTATTAACTATTGCTCATAGAACAGCCTTCTATTGAAGTGTTTGAAGCTGCCATCTGCAAATAGCGATCAGTTTGTTATTGTATGTTAAGATAGCACATCGCTAATTGTCAATATCAGGGAAGAGAATGATTTTCCATAATAAAAGAAGGAGTATTTAAAGTTCGAAAAGAAATATACCAGCTAATTGAGGTAGAAATTTGATTTGTTTTCTGAATCAAACTTATTTACCTTTTGTAATCATGTTTAAATGCAAACATGACTTTGCGACTAAATCGTAGGCAGCATTGAAATAAGTAACCACCGTTTTAAAACAATTGGTTGTCTTAAGCGGGATGTAAACGAACTAAATATAATGCTGCTGTTTTTTATTTTGTTTAAAAACGTGTTAGACATGTTGAATGTGTTTAGAAGTTTAATCTCTTTAATTATTCGAATGAAAGATGTTTTGAGTGTTTTCAACATAAGCTTTTAAAAATACAAATGCAGGTCATTGAGTTTGTAAAACATAATAAGCAGTTGTATTATTAAATAAATGAATAGTTTGAATACCCTTCCTGACCTCATACGATCATTCGCTGTTTTAGGCACTGATCGTGTTCATGCTGTGCTGCGTTTTGTGGACTGTTGTTCGTCTCTTGGACTTTGATTTTATTATTTTGATGGTTTTATTTAAGTTTCTTTGATTCATGGTTTGAGATTGATTGTCCCTTTGGTATCATTTTACTTTAAAGACATTAAGTTGCAGTTATGAAAATCGGCAAAAAAATCGCCTCACAGTAAAGTGATGAAGATTATACGCCATAAGACAAATATCCGCGAAAATAAGTTAGTTTGCTCACGGTGATATATATATACAACAGAATCGTAATCGTGATACATTTAACAACAATTTTTAAAACTGTTACTACTTAAAGAGAAACGAAATATATCAAAGGGACATTCAAACTCATAACTTGAAAACGAACTGACAAAGCCGGGACAAAAAACGAAAAAAGACAAGCTACAGTATACAAAACACAACATATAAAATTACAGATTGAGTAACAGAAACCCCAAAAATATTTGGGGTGAACTCAGGGACCCCCAAAGGGTAACCAGATCCTGTTCCACATGTGACACACGTCTTGTGGTTCATGTAATTCCTAACTCGGTGATAAGTCTTATTCGGTAGGTGACATTCAAGGCAGAGATGGCGGTATTTTGGTTACGTCGATTGGAATTTATCCGTCGTCATCTGGCAAATCAGATATTCCATAACTGTTAAACACTTGAAATGGCGTCCATAAAATTTTCGAAGGGATGATTTCAACTTTGCAATTGAACTCTGGTTTATAACTATGTTCAAACATTTTTCTTCAAATGTCCTGTACCAGGCCAGGCAGTTGTTATCAAATAGTCCGTTTCTGTGTATGATGGCGTTTGTTTTTGTAGCAGTTCAGTGTTTCTGTTATTCCGTTGTTTTTCTCTTATAATTGATGTGTTTCCCTCGGTTTCGGTTTGTGATCCGGATTGTTTTCAGTTAAATCGATTTATGACTATTCAATAGCGGTATACTATAGTTACCTTTATTCAATAGCTTCATCGTGAGCAGTAATCCATCATCAAGGAAATCGTGAAAGTAAATGCAAGCTCTGGAATATTGTAACGACTTGGAGATATATACGCCACAAGAATATGCCGCGAAATCGCGTTACAATTGGGCAAGTGTTGAAACAAAGAGTTTATTTAAATTTCGCGTGCAATACGTCGACTGAGCATGCAAAGACAAATTTAGGAAATACAAAACAATACATTTATACGTCATATCATAAATATTTCCGATTTTGTATGGTTTCAGAGGTGTTGCGGCTCAATGAAATCGGTCTCTTCCTTTAATAGTATAGATATGCAGGCGTTGCTGTAATGTTGCTACATAGAAATGAAAAGTTTACAATTGGGGAGCTGAAATCATCTCTTTTGTCGTTAAATTTGTTCTCAACCGTCCATTATCGAGTTTTTTTATTTTCAATTTCAATGGAAAATACGCGTTCAACATTATCACAAACTTTGCACTATTAAGTGAGAAAACATCATCTATATAGTGGAAAGTGAAGTTTCAAGATAATGGAAACTTCTTTTCAATCGTCACAAGAAGCTCTGGCATGAAGTCAGCCTCGTGTGAAAAAGGAACAAGTCATTCAAGCTATTCAGGAAATTTAGTTGTACTAGTAACTAGAATCGTTGCGTATTAATGGAATTTTTTCATAAAAATTATTCTTTTTTGATGAATTTATGCATTTCAACAATGAACAACGCAATTCAATCAATCAAGAAGACAAGATATATAATGTGTTTACTGGTTTTTGAATTCTTTGAAATTTCAATTTTCATCGATTTTTTTTTTGAATTTTGTCTATATCTTAAATTTTTTTTATGGTTCATATTGAATAAATACAAGGTCTTTTCACTACATCAATGTTTATAATGAAACTACAAATCAAACAATTAGAAAAGTCGAAAGATATTTTTTTTCAGTCTGGTAGTTACAATGCAGATTGCTATCTCGCAGTTTCGCCCCCTTTATTTCGAGTAAAAGTATGATGCTCGCACATATTTTTTAACTTCAAATTTTGCAGATTCTTAAGAACTTGTTTATTAAATCTCATATTGACCACATACAATGTTTAGAAAGGAAGAAGTGTTTAAAAGCTGTGTTTCTGCAGATGGTGGCATTTTGGGCAACTGTATGAGTTGTTATGATTTGCTGTTTGATTAGAAGTAAGCATATTTATACGAAATTGATGATGTCAAAAACTTCTTTGATAGTTATAACAGGGTTTTACTTAGTTTTTAGTTATTATAGCAGTTGCATCAGAAAGAAAAATTTTGGTTTTCACTCATTTTACTCAAATTTCAGGAAACATGTGCTGTCTATCAAAAACACGCTTTAAATATTTAAAAATGCGTTTAATTAATGACTGTTGATCTCTCTGCTAAAAGTTTAAATTGTTTGCATACGTGAATTTATTATATAAAAGTCATAATATGCAATCAAGCTGACATCTTGGAAAATATGCACTTATTCGTCCTTGACCTTTGATCTTGATTGTACAGAAATTGCACCGTACGATTTTTTTACGACCGGGCAAAACAGATAGTACAGATGTGTAGCTTTCGAATGATATATAATTTAGCCGTGTGTCAGGTGGGTGTATTAAACAGTTAATTTTATGGTTAAAGTCACTCCACTACAATTTAATTGACTGAAAATAATGAAATCTTTACGTTATCATGCTTCATTTGACTTTACATAATATATTATGTTAACGATAGAAAAATCAAAACGTCTTTTGAGACGGCCCCTTTAAAATGTATATCGTCTCTCGACTCTCGTTTGTTGTTTGTCAAAAATAATCATTTATCTAACACGTCTATTAAGTATTATAGTTATATTATATATCATATCATATTTCTCATTTTTCGTAGGTAGATTTTAATACAGCATGCGTTGTAAAGTCTTCCTTAGCTGGAAATGAGGCATTATATCCTCCAGTCCAAATCGGTGTGACTATGAAAAACAAATACGAAAATAACACAAATATTTTATGGCAACACTACAGTACCATTGAGGGAACTTCAATAATATACCCCGCAACAAACTGGACCAATTGTAGAGATTTTGATCCCAGATTGAGGTAATAGTTTTATAAATTTTTCAGACAAGAGATATGGTTGAGTTTCATTTTTTTAACAACATAATTAAATATTTATTTCAATTACTGGCTTGTTATAATATCCTTCAGGAGTCCAAGTTCCTCCTGATGTTCCCTGTTACATCCCACTAATTACTCAGGGAAGTAATTAGTTGTAAAATTCATAGTACATCAAACATAATATATTCAATAATATCACTCATAATGATTGTTAAAATGTTTTTCTAATGGTTACTAAAATTTTATTTTGAATAGTGCAAGACCCTCACGGGTAGTCAATGTCGTTAAAAAACACCCTCATAGTATAACACATCATATATATCAAGTATACGCAGCCATTTTGTTGGTCCAATAGATGGTTGTGTTTCTTATTTAATCTATAGTGACGTGTTGAAATAGGAACCTTTTTATAATGTTTGTTTATAGCATGGCTTTGTGAAATATAATTAAACAGTATTGGCAGGATGTCGTTTACCATTGGTATTTGACATTCCATTACTAAAGTATCCCTTAATAAAACGTTCAGGCAGAATATAAGGCTACAACTATTCTGTCTTGCATTAGTGACTTTTGAAAATTTTTCTTGATATGTTAATATTGGCAATCAGGTGTACATTTATCTTTGCAAAACTTAAATAAAGTGAAACTTGGATTGATTGATTGTTCCTTGCTTTACGTCAGTGTCAACTATTTGATACACGTTCAGGACGAGAACAAATTAACAGTTGGTGTACTTTACTGTCTTTATTAATTACGTTCTGCAAGTCAGGTCAACGGGGAGGACGGGCTATAAAGTTGACTGCCACAGGAAAATGAGTTCATGTTGTATAGGGGGAAAACAGTTTGCATTGCAACAGACTAACTATAGATCCTTTAATAGTTGTTACAAAAATACATAATGAGCAGAATCGTAAAACATGTATCGGATTTTACGTCCCTATTCCGATAGAAAATCACTTTGTATTTATGAATCTAACACAGCCAAGCAGACACTCTACTTTGGTAAAGGTTTGGTATCTTTCGCCTATCCTTTACTACCAGATCATCTTATCTAGTCAAGGCGCTTTCTGGTTGAATGCCAGTTACACTTGATGTGCAGGATTTACACCGATAGAAATCGCTACCTATTGTATCCTAAATTTTAGCTTAATCTGCCAAAGGTGAGGAAGAAGGGATTAGGGTCGTGACCTTTGGCTAGTAAAGAAGTTTCTAGACAAGAGCAGTCCAGGGATGACCATATTGCTATACACAGGTGAACTCTTGAGGTCGTGGGACTGTCATATTACATATAGGCATAAAGTTTATAGATTCCTGCACCAAAGTTACAAGATGCTAATTGCATATTTTCCGTCCCTTTATTGTGATGTTGTTTGTATTCATAAGCAAATATCTAATATCTAATGAAATATACTATATACCCCCCAAAAAAAAGGCATTGCAAACTTGTAAGTTGAAGAGAAAATGACAACGCCATGGAAAATAACACACACACAAAAAACCCAACGTAAACACAAACAAGTCTACAATACACTACATAGAAAACTAGAGACGGAGCAAGACGAACAAAGCATCGATACTATTATTGTTTTGTGTTAATGGGTAATTACTGCCTCGTGGACATATACTGCACATCTCCATACGCTTGGGCATTAATTAATGAAAAATACCGTATTGTACATAGCAGGTTGTAGTCAATTTTTTCATTTTATGTTTTTTCAGGCCTGAATTCTCCGCAACAGCATCACCGAGACCTAAAGACATTGTAATAGTAATTGCCTCAACAAAGTCTATGGATGCACCATCGGGTGTTCTAAACAAAGAGAAGCTAACTGTTGCCAAAGAAGCTGCACGTTCAGTCATAAATACACTAAATCCTAATGATCGGGTACGTTTATTGTTACTTTGGATGTGCAAAAAGTATGAAAATAACACTTCATAAATTGTGTGCGTTTGAAGCGCTTTTCTGAATTAACCTTCATCAGGAACGCTGATGTAGTCCTTTGTGCTAATTATCACAAATGCTTCTTTTTGTGTAATTTTATTGTGGTGTAAAAGTGTTGACCGAAGCACATGTTGTATGAAGCGCTAATAAGACCATGAACAAAATGTTTTAACCAGTTTTTCTTTTATTTACCTGTGCACTTTTTTGTGGAAGCACGTGTCATCACGCATGTAACATTTCATTTTGATACGAAGGTTAATTTTTGAATGACGCGCGATTTCTATTAGCCAATCAAACTAACAGATTCTCGTGAAACATACATGTAATGTAATTATTATTAAATAACACAACTAATTTATACATTATATCAAAAATGGTAATAAAGAAGCATACATAGTTCGAAAAGGACATCATCATGGCGAAAAACAGATGGAAAGACGTAAAACATTCTTCAAACCATTTCATCAAAAACGTACATTAAACAATAGTAACCTAACCGAAAACCGAAAACGGGTGATGGACTGTTACATAAGTTATACAATGGAAACAGTGCTGTGCAGTAAATAATTAATAAGTTCTAATTGAACAATGTAGCTAATCTGTGCATGGATCTGACAACACTTCGTTCTACTTTCATTCTGGTAATTATTACAAAACCAATGAAATTGCTGCCTTCAATTCAAATATGTTGAAAGTGTGTATCATTAGGACAATACAAGAAAGTAGAACGAAGAATTATCAGATACTTCTAATGTTCTAATTTTATCTATAATACCCTCCGACAAATTATACTAGTATTGCAAAGCAATGGGTATAGTAATGAGAAAATATACAACGTATTGAATCTTTATATATGAGGGTATAGATGGGGTTAGCAGAATAAAGAATAATGGTGAAGAAGTGCAAAATAAAGGGCCAAAAAAATAAAGAGTAAACAAAAATAGGCCAAAAAACAAAAATAAAGAATAGAGAACATTGAATGCTAAAATATATGAAAAAGAATAATGGGCCCAAATTATATAGAATAAAGAATTATATACAAAAATTGTAAAAAATAGAGAAAAATGGACTAAAAATAATGCTCAGAGAAATGAAGAACAAACCCCCCCCTCCCCCCCCCCCCCCCTTCCCCCTAATTTACACCCTCATATATCTTATTGCGTCAAGTCTGTGCTACGAGTAAATTTTGGGGTGTAATCACGGCTATTTTTGCAAAAAGTTATTAATAACATATTACAAAAAAGAAGCGAAAGATACCAAAGGGACTTTCAAACTCATTAGTCAAAAATAAACTGACAACGCCATGGCTAAAAAAGAAAAAGACAAACAGACAAACAACAGTACACAAACCACAACATAGAAAACTAAAGACTGAGCAACGAGAACCCCACCAAAAACTGGGGGTGATCACAGGTGGTCCGGAAGGGTAAGCAGATCCTGCTCCACATGTGACACCCAAAGTGATACTCCTATAAAATACGTTATGTTATATCAAGTGATTAGACATCACACAATAGCGAATTGGTAATTGACTCTCATCTTACCCTTAGACATTACCAAATTCTAGACCATCTGTCATGTAAAATTGTCTAACCCTGAAACTTGACCAAATGTGAAACATGTATTTCATGACAAAGGATATACGATACTGTCACCGGTAATAACAACACAAACGTTGAAAAATTAAAATTAACTAGGGATGATCTCAGGTGCTCCGGAAGGGTAAGCAGATCATGCTCCACGTGTGGCACTCGTCGTGTTGCTCATGTAAGTACAAACCCGGTGATAAGTCTAATTCGGTAGGTCATCTATACAAGCTAATAAACTAATTGCTTATTGTTTTCAAGGTTTCTGCTATCTCCTTCAATTCGGACGTCAAGAGTAAAGATGGTTGCTATAGTGATACTTTGGCTTTCGCAACAAAACAAAACAAAAAGACAGTTAAGGAGTTCGTTGGTTTTGATCCAGATTCTCAAATAAATTATCAGAATTTTGAAAAGGCACTAGTGGCGGCTTTTTCATATTTTAAATCTTCAGACAACGACAGTGTCTCAGAAAGAGGTAATGTACAAGTCTTTTATGATTATTAAAGCGTTGAACTATATACGGATGGATGAATGAATTAACGCCTAGCGGTATATTTAAGAATTGAATGCTTCTTTTTATAACTTTATTGGGTGTAAAAGTGTTCACCGAAGCTCATTTTGGATGTAGCGCGGAAACACTTCATTCTGAAAATATGCACACAATCAACGCTTAAACAATCCTATAACATTATAAAAAGAAGCATTCTATTCTTATGATTACATGTTTATGATACATCCAAATTATTAAGAGTTATACCAAGCTTTTCGTTTATGTTTCTATGCATTGGTTAAACAATGTCACATATAGCAATGCAGTCATGATAGTTGTAGTTCATACGGAAATAAAATTTAATACTGTAGTGCCTCACGATTGTTGATAGCAAATCAAATTCGCGGATTCAAATGAAACATACATGTAATGTAATAAGTCATGAATAACATCCCTATCAGGATGTTAATGGGATACGCTTATGAACCCTGCTTTTACTAGACCAAATGGTTACAATTTATAACTACAAGGTTATAGTCCACAGAAGGCTTTGAACTGATCCAGCCGAGTTAAAAACTTTATATATGAAATATGCTATCTTATAAGAACCGATCAATATGAAAAAGTCCAGCTTTTTTCTTATTTACCTTCATCAGGAACGCTCTAACCAAGAACCATTGACAACAACGAATGTAACACAGATCTAGGAGCTGTAAGATCAAAAGGGACCTTAAGGGAAAAGGCAAATCCATCTAAGTTAAACATTGTCTGAGGTACAAGGAACATGTAGATTTTAAAGGGTATAATGTTGTAATCGTTTAGAATATAATATAAAAATAAGAATAAAACATTATGTGATACGATTGCCAATGAGACAACTAGACATAGTTTTGTCTATAGAAATATTGCATGAATTTGTTTCACGTATATTTAGAACTTTGATCAAACATTTAAAATCTATCAGTTCTTACAAAACTATTTTTATATTTTGGAAAATCTCCACTTCAACACATAAATAGGTTCAATAAGGCCCTTAAATGGCCACTACTTCTATCATTTCTAGCTACAATTTCAAATTAGGATTTATTGACTTATTGAAGATCATCATGAGTCATACTAACCAATACCATGACAAGATATACATTTTGTATATCATATAGATATAAGAAGATGTCTATTTGTTCAAAAATTTACGTACTTGTGGTCTTTTCATGACGTCACAATTAGCACTCATTTTGAGTTTCCACTATAGTTCAATGAAAACGGGTAAATTAAAATAATTTATTTCTTGGACAGGAAACAAACAGCACATGCGTAAAAAAAAAATAATCTTGTTTACATAATGTTTGTTATAGGTTGCACTTCTGTAAATAAAGACAATGCAGTTTCCCATAGGAGCTCTTTTTACGGCTAAAACTGTGCCACTTTTACTATGAAGTTTCGTAAAAAATTATATTCTAGAATGGAAAGTTCATATGCACTTCTATTGTTTTCAAATGTCAAAACATAGGGCTGTGTGTTATACTTTTTACATTTAGATGCCCCGAACTTCTAAGTTTTTAAATAAAACAAAAATTCTGTACTACCCCCTCCCTTCACTTTGGGTCTTCCTCGGAATTGGATTTGGCCGCTATCCATGTGTATTTAAACTGGTAACATTCCCAAGTTATGTCTATATGAGATAAAACATAGATATCATATCTGTGAACCAGTACGTAAACAAAACAAAATATCTATAAATATTATATAATCTCCCCAAAATAGGCGTGGTTTGTGAAACAGATGAATTTACAAAGTGCGACATATAACATTTTACATACCTGACTTGAATATTTAGTTGGTCGAAGGCTGCGCTTCTAGGCCTAAATTCGGTTGAAATCCAGACAATTGCGTCAAATTGTCACACAAATCTTTATTTTCGGCAATTTGGGAAGAAAAGTTAACGCTTTAAAATAAAACTTTGACAACAATAGTTCGATTTAACTTTCCTACATAATTCATCGTCTTAAAACTTATTTATTGAAAAATTGAACTTAATAATAATAACAAAATATGATCTTTACTCAACTAACTGCTTTGCTTGGAATACTAATTCATTATGCACATCCTTAGATGGTATACATTTTCATTGGTATGCGTGTATCCGTTTATAAACAGATGCATTTACAAGCCACAATGACAGACAGACGGACCGAAAGACCGAGTGATTCCTTTTGGCTATGTAGTTCCAAAACACTTTGTTTGCGAGATTTTTCAAAACAATCAGTAGCGTGTTAAATTCACACTCGATGGCAATTATCTGATTTTACTTTCATCATTGAATCAGTTAGTTTTGTTAACTGATCCACGTCTACAGAAATAAATTTTTTGTTTGTTTTTCAATCATAAAGTTTTTTTAATCTTAGATCAGTTAATTTTATTCATTACTGATGGTAAAAAGACACTCGGCAGGGATCCAGTGGAAGTCATTAGAGATGAAAATATGCAACTACAAAATAGAGTTGTTGTGTTTACCTATCTTCTTGGTCCAGGTTTGTGAATTTCAAAATATTATATTGATTAAATTAATAATTATCATAATAAATTTTTGACCAAAATAAAGGTTAACTGTTCAGGACGGTTAGTAGTATTATCTTTTTCCCAATTCATATGATATATCTCCTGTTTGAGCTAAAGTCATCCCAACAATATTGCAAATCACACAATCTTTAGTCAAGCCCAACATTACGGCCTTGAACACAAGGTATAGTCAAGCGTATCACTCTGTTCTTGTTAATCGATGTGGTAAATGACGTTCAGTGGTTGTCAAAATCGTACTAAGTATACTTGTTAGTTTCTCTTGAACTTATGAGTTTGAATATCCATTTGGAATATTCCGCCTCTCCTCTAGACCTCTTTTAATTGTTCTCGATACTTTACGCCATAGAAACTTTGATTCGTGCATTAATTGATGTGTAAACAAAGACTTTTGCACCATTAAAAACTATTTGAATTACATTATAAGATTGATGAAAAGGAAGAGTAAATCTAAAATTAAGAAGATATGGTATGATGGTAAATTAAATAAGTTTCACACACCACTAATGGGCAAAGATGTAAACATGTACAGGGAACATTTACGGTGACAGTAGTTTACCAATATTCAAATCACTGTAAAACTTAGAAAAGGTCGAGACCGGGTACATCGACTCTACGATTATCAACAATAGTAAAATCATCACCACAAATAATAAGTTGTAAGTGATAGAAATCCATGGGATACAAACATGTTCTTAATTATTATTTTGTTTTTATTCTTCTTTGAATATATTTGAAATACGACTTCAGGGATACAAGTATATTCTATCAAAAGAACTCAAATTGATGTTTGAGGACAGAAATATGTACTTGACTTTTGATAATAAAATTGAGAATGGAAATGGGGAATGTGTCAAAGAGAACATACTTTAGTGGGAATATGCATATATGTCTTGTAATTGGTAGATATTTACTTTTGTTGTCATTTAAGCATGAAACTATCTAAACAAACTCACCGTAGATACCGGGTTTATATTTTTATGCGAGACGCACGTTTAGTCTACAAAAGACTCTTCAGTGACGCTCGAAAAAAAAAGATAAAACAGCCAAATAAAGTACAGTTCAAATACAGTTAAGGTAATCTATTCATGAGTTAGAAAATTCATAGTTTTTCGAAAAAAATTTAAGTTTTGTAAACAGAAAATTAATAATTATGCGTATCAATGATAATTCATGTCAACACACAAAAGTCTTATTTATTTTTATTGACATGATTGTTTCAGGGTCATCAGATATTGCAAAGAATCAGTTACGTGAAATGGCTCAACAAATAAAGTCAAATACGTCATATGGAGCTTTTCGGGTAAGTTTAATAAACATTTGTTAATACGATAGTACAGTAAACACAGAATATTTATCATCTAACAATTTAAAGTGATTATTGTTAAGCATTTACGTTTTCAATGACGACGGTATTTATATTGTACATACATAAGCTCTCACGTATTGTGGTATTTATAAATTCATGGCTTTAAAATGTTTAGATTTTGTCGTTCCTGATTAAATAACATAAACGGTACCAATGTGCTGCACCAGATGTTATTTCATATAACATTCATATAGTTATTTAAAAATTAGAGGGCCTATCATCTGTACATCAGCGCTGGTGATCGCTAACACGAGTTTTAATAACGATTTGATCTTGATACACTAATTAAGTTATATGTAAATGGAAATATATGTTTACCGTCAAAACGTTTATATTGCTATTAAACTTTAAAAAAGTACACAAAAAGGACAACACGACTCGCAAAACTATTGGACAGTACAAAATACCATAAAAACCATCATTATTCTACTCAAACAACAAACGTAGAATCAATGAAAGTACTAACGCACTACACATGATCCGATATTCCGTACTTGGTAAATGCACAAATTGTCGTCGGAACATGATTATAAGATCGTTTGGACACAGCAAGAAAAGGTAAAACTTTATTCAAACACTCACAGTTGATATGATAATTTAGTACATCATACGCCCGTGCCGTCTAAATAAGGTAATACAATGCTCGTGGATCAAATTGTTGAGAAATCAATTACTCTGAAGATGAAAATAGCTTACCGATGTGCAAATCTCATCAATCCATTATTTAAAGAACATTAAAATCTAGTCAAACAACAAAATCTAAGAGAATTGCATGAACTCCAAAAGTATCGAAACATATTAAGTGTCCATGCTATGGATGCCCAACTGTTATGCGAATCCACACCCAGGGCGATTAGAACGCACATTTTTGTTTCGAATAGTTTAATATATTATTAATATTAACTTGAAAAACAATTACCATATCAATAATTGGTCGAGTCAGTCCTGACAACTGGGCATGTAATACTTTGTTAACACGGCCTTCAACGACAGTGGAATCCACTCCGGACTTCTAAAAACTCACGATAGATACCAAGCAATTCATTTTGTACTCCAAACACACTTTTCTTGTACACAATATTTACACAATACTTGAATCAACTTATTGCAAAATATTTATAACTACACCGTTACCATGTGATGTAGTAGGACAATCTTATTCGGTTGGAAAATATCGTCAATTTTATGTAACACTGAAACAATATCTCATCACATGTATATTCTTTTGTAGAATGGACAATATTTATATTCTGAAAGTCTGAAAACTCTTGTTATTGACATGTCCACATTTTACCTTCATCTTCGAAAACCTTCAGCTGATCCTATATACACCGTCCCATATGTAGATCCTTTCTCCGAAATAGGTAAGTTGCTGATTATTTTGCTTATTTATTTTGTATACGAAGAGTTTTCTCCGCAAAATGAGTATTATTTCCTTTGTCAAAATATTTTTTTCTAGCTATATATACTGTAGTAATATGATCATCTTGTCATAGCAGGGACCATATTGACAGAAAGGAAAATTAATATAGTACCGGTACCATTATAAAACGCCCCTGAATTTAAAAAGTCCCTTACTAATTTGAATTTTTGTCGTCAACATTCAATAGATTTTTTTACCGTAGGTTAGGGGAAAAACGTCTTTGAGGGCCTTTCCATCCGTTTCAACATAGCCGTTATAATGTTGATGATAATTCTACTTGATGAAAAGTTCTAGTTCTCATCGTGTAAACAATCGTGTCTGTTTCTTTTAAATTGCTTGATGCATTTTGTTGTTAAAAATTTGTTTCGATTGTACGCGATTTTGTTATCTTTCTTTTTATCTTTATTGCAATACTTTTTTTCTTTTCCTCTATTTTATCTCAACTATGCTATTATCTGCCAGCGACATTTTTTTTGAAGCACTTCATTTATTCTTATCTTTTACCTCGTTTTCAAAGTCAAGCTCCCCGGTATATCCTTACCTTTGATCTTGTTATTGAAGACAATCTCATTGCTATATTCTAACCTTTTATCTTGTTATCAAAGACAAACCCCTTGATATATTATTACATATTATCTTGTTATAAAAGACAAGCCCATTGGTGTATTCTTAACTTTTGGTTTGTTATCAAAGACAAGCCCTTGGCCTTTTCAAAATGTATTTTCTTACCTTTGATCTTGTTATCAAAACACGGCCTTTGATATATTACACATTATCTCGTTATCTCGTTATCAAAGACAAGCCCCCTTGATATGTTATTAAGACAAGTCCCTTATAACAATGTATATTCTTACCTTTGATCTTGTTATAAAAGAAAAACCCGTTGATATACTCTTACCTTTGATCTTGTTATCAAAGATAAGCCCCTAAATACAATGCATATTTTTACCTTTGATCTTGTTATCAAAGATAAGCCCCTAATTACAATGCATATTTTTACCTTTCATCTTATTATCAAAGACAAGCGCCTTGATATATTATTACATATTATATCGTTATTAAAGCCCCTCGATATGTTATTACTTTTAATCTTGTTATCAGAGATAAGTCCCTAATTACAATGTATATCCTTACCTTTGATCTTTTTATCAAAGCCAAGCACCTTATTACAATGCATATTCATTCCTTTGATTTTGTTATCAAAGATAAACCCCTTGATATATTCTTACCTTTTATATTGTTATCAAAGACAAGCCCTTATAACAGTGTATATTCTTACCTTTGATCTTGTTATCAAAGACAAACTCCTTGATATATTGTTACACGTTATCTCGTTATTAAAGACAATCTTTGATATGTTACTGCCTATTATCTTGCTATTATAGACAGGCCCCTTATTACAACACGTACAATGTACATTCTACCTTATATCTTGTTATCAAAGAAAAACCCGGTGATATTCTCTTACCTTTGATCTTGTTATCAAAGATAAGCCCCTAAATACAATGCATATTTTTACCTTTGATCTTGTTATCAAAGATAAGCCCCTAATTACAATGCATATTTTTACCTTTGATCTTATTATCAAAGACAAACGCCTTGATATATTATTACATATTATCTCGTTATTAAATCCCCTTGATATGTTATTACTTTTTATATTGTTATCAGAGATACGTCCCTAATTACAATGTATATCCTTACCTTTGATCTTTTTATCAATGCCAAGCACCTTATTACAATGCATATTCATTCCTTTGATATTGTTATCAAAGATAAACCCCTTGATATATTCTTACCTTTCATATTGTTATCAAAGACAAGCCCTTATAACAGTGTATATTCTTACCTTTGATCTTGTTATCAAAGACAAACTCCTTGATATATTATTACACGTTATCTCGTTATTAAAGACAAACTTTGATATGTTATTGCTTATTATCTTACTATTATGAACAGGCCCCTTATTACAACATGTACAATGTATATTCTACCGTAAATCTTGTTGTCAAAGACAAACCTGTTTATATATGCTCACCAATTTTCTTGTTATCAAAGACAAGCTCCTTATTACAATGCATATTTTTACCTTTGATCGTGCTATCAATGACAAGCCCCTTATTACAGTGTATATTTTTACCTTTGATCGTGTTATTAAAGACAAATCCCTCGATGTATTATTACATATTATCTCATTATTTAAGACAATCCCCTTGATATGTTATTAACTTTTATCTTGTTATCAAAATGAAGCACCTGATTACAATGCATATTTTTACGTTTGATCTTGTTATCAAAGACAAATCCCTTGATGTATTATTACATATTATATCGTTGATAAAGACAAGCCCTCGATATGTTGTTACCTTTTAGCTTGTCAGCAAAGATAAGCCCATAATTACAATGCATATCTTTACTTTTGATCTTACTATCAAAGACAAGCCCCTTATTAAAATGCATATTTTTACCCTTGATCTTGTTATTAAAGACAAGCCACTTATTACAATGCATATTCCTACCTTTGATCGTGTTAACAAAGATAAAACCATTATTACAATGCATACTCTTACCTTTGATCTTGTTTTCATAGACAAACCCGTTGATGTATTCTTACTTTTCATCTTGTTATCAAAGACAAGCCCCTTATTATAATCTATATTCTTACCTTTGATCTTCTAATCAAAGACAAGCCCCTAATATATTATAAGATTTTATCTTGTTATCGAAGACAAGCCCATAATTACAATGCAAATCCTTACTTTTGATCTTACTACCAAAGACAAGCCCCTTATTAAAATGCATATTTTACCTTTGATATTGTTATTAAAGACAAGCCACTTATCACAATGCATATTCCTACCTTTGATCTTGTTAAGAAAGATAAGACCCTTATTACAATGTATATTCTTACCTTTAATCTGGTTTTCATAGACAACCCCGTTGATATATTCCTACCTTTTATCTTGTTATCAAAGACAAGCCCCTTATTATAATGTATATTCTTACCTTTGATCTTCTTATCAAAGACAAGCCCCTAATATTCTATAAGATTTTATCTTGTTATCAAAGACAAGCCCATTGAATTATTCTTATCTTTTAGCTCGTTAGGAAAGACAAGACTTTTAGTATATTCTCTTCTCTTATGGTTGTGGCCTGTTATCTATTTCTTGCGTGAAGAGACATTTAACGTATTACACTGCACGGAGTGTGATATGAAAAAGTGATACGAAAACTGCGTTAATTTGATTGGCTTATCCAGCATCATGAGACGATATTACGACATTTCCATTGGATATTCGTTAGATCATTTATTACTTTCAAAGGTTTAATGCGATGTAGATTTCGTCAATTGCAACGAACATATATGATTTCTTCAAAAATGTACAAATACTGACACTTTTCACCTCAGAATCTTTTTTTTGTAAAATTTTATTACATTCTTAAGCGTACACAAAGTTTTAAAATTTCTGATGGTCATGTTGGACGGCAGAAAAGGACAAATGACGTCATACTGGTATGTAGAAAAGACTATATCAGCAATTCGCGGATGGTTTTAATTTATCACAATGATAGGGTTGACCATAAGAGAAATAGGTTTAACAACTCTTGAAAGTTGGATATCGCTTGATATCAAATATCTTTATTTAATTTAAATATTTATGATAAACTCGCCGAAGGCTCGTTTAGTATCATATTGAAATTAAATAACTCGAGTTGATATCAAGCAATAACAAATTCTCAATCGTTATGAAACCTATTAATCTATTGTTTCGTTATCAAAGATTAGCCCGTGATACATTCTTATAATGTATATAATCATCAAAGAAAATTCCCTTGATATATTTTTATTTTTTATCTCGTAATCAAATACAATGGTACTTTCTTATCTTTCATCTCGTTATCAAGTCAAGCCCCTTGATATAGTCTTGCTTATGATCTTGGTTTCACGGACAAGCTCTTTGAATTTCGTAAATGTAAGACTCGTTAGCATGGTTAGTTTGGTTTTATTATCGTATTTGTGACGTAAATTGCATATTTCCCTAACGTTTCCGTTTATCATTTAAATTAGGTTTAATGACGTCGATGTGTCGACAAGTCAACATTACCAACGGATTTAACGGTGTTGCATGTACAGATGTTAAAGTTAGTGAACTGTTGAAGGATGTTGAATATTTCGAGGAAGGAAATTCATCATATGCTTTCATGATTGACAGAACAGGTCGGACAATTGTTCATCCTTTACTCCCTGATCCTACTTATTTGAGAACTGACCCTGTTTTGGTTGACATCACAACATTGGAGAGGTCTCCTGGGTCTGGCAGTATAATGTCTGATTTAAAAAGGTATTTCATTTTGCATACTGATGGACGTTATAATTTTGTCTATAAACTCCAAAATTCCTTTTTAATAATAAGTGTGTGTCCAAATAAAACCGAACCTACACTGCAATCACAATTCTTTGATTTTGTATTGTCAAATATGAATCCATGGTCACTAACGCATAAAAATAACATAAGAACATTGCGCCATGTGATGCAGTTTATACTTGATGTATTTATATTCAGTGTACAAACGTCTTTGTTTTATTTGTGTTGTAAGCATGTCTAATGGAGATCAATATGATACAAAGGCCAACTGAGATAACAGAAATACATAAGAGTTACTGAGGAGAATTTATAATGAACTCTAACATTATTTTAGTTATTGTAGACATCATTTTAATTCTGATAATCTCTGTTTTTTAGATTGTTTTGTTTGCTGTATTTAAAAAATACGGATATGTGGTATGATATCCGGTGAGACAACTAGTCATTAGAGACCTCAATACGAGGGTATTGACAATTATAGATCATCTTATGGCCTCTAATAGTAAGCAAAACTAATACCTTATAGTAAGCTTCCACTGGTTACTTATCTAATCTTTTTCGTCACATACTAGTACATGTATGTTAGTAGTAGTAGTATCTATCGATTGTTTTTTGTTTAAATATATATATATATATATATATATATATATATATGTTCTTAGTATATATATGTGTGTGTGTATTAATACTATGTTGTAGCGGAATGTCTGGTAATAAGACTCTACCTTCAGTATATTTTACAATTCCACGTGGTAATTTGATAAATGATGGAACTAGTATAAGGATCGTAAGTGCAACGTTCTTTTGGAGTTCGGTAAGTGTATTTGGTATTCTAATTTTTGTATACTAATAGATTAATTACGTCCGGAATAAGGAATATGTGATCAGTTCGTGAGCACTGACTGCAAGTAAAAACTTTAAAACGACGTGTATTTTCTATTGATTTAATTATCAGTTCAAATTATCTTCTCTAAAAATCTTTGAATTTCGGATTGATTATTTCTACTTTAAAGAGAACATTCTTTCAACTGTTGGTGTAGTTTGAAAATGAACAAGTGTGATATGTGTTGAGCTGCAAAATATTGAATGACAGGATTTATGCACAGTCAATGATAAGGGAACACTTAGAATTCCATTATGAAATTGAATTCTTCTTAAAATGTGATCATTTACATTGCTATTGAACATGTTAATATAAAAAAGAAGATATGGTATGATTGCCAATGAGACAACTCTCCACAAGAGACCAAATGACACAGAAATTAACAACTATAGGTCACCGTACGGCCTTCAACAATGAGCAAAACCCATACCGCACAGTCAGCTATAAAAGGCCCCGAAATGACAATGTAAATCAATTCAAACGAGAAAACTAACAGCCTAATTTACATGTTTAACAAATGTAAAATATCTGTCAATTTCTATGTTTTGGTAGGTAGAAAATACAGACTTCTCCATTTGCATTGTATTAGGAAATGAAAAATATTCGGCAATTTCTGAATATAAGTTCCCAATAATTACTGGAGACTTGGAGAAAGTGTTCATGTACCACAACAGAAACCTTTCAGATGACAGTTACCCTGACTGTAGGTTCAATGCTAGGAGGGTAACATTAGGTTTGTAAGTTAGAAGCATCTTTTTCTTATTGACCAAATAAGCAGGGGAAAACATTTTGTTATATATCACCATGGCCATTTCAAAGACAAATATATTCAGTGTCTTCTTGGATAATGCTTTTTTTTTCTACAAATAGCCTGAAGCAGTATCATCCTATATATAAAAACAAAAGAAGATGTGGTATGGCTGTTAATGAGATAACTCTCCAAAAGACACCAAATGACGAAGAAATTAGAAACTATGGGTCACCGTACTTATAATTTATTTGATTTAAAACAGATGAAGGTTGTACATTAGTGATAATATAACCGACAAAACCACTAAGAAAATCAAAGCTATAATTGTCATTAATACTCGAAGACATAAATGTTTTCAATCTTAATTACTTAGTGATTCTACTTCATTTTCAGAAAGAACCAGCATTAAGTTTTCACCATCTGTATTCCTAAGTCCTTTCCAATACACGGATAAAGATCAAACAGCTGAAGATGTTTCAAAATATAAACGATATTTTACCACAGAATCGGATGAAAATCCGGGATTTAAGGTAATTAGCTTGAAATACGCTTACTAAGAATACCTTTCTTTAAAAAACACAGACCCTCTAACACTATTGTAAAAATGAAACTGAGCTCACACATCAATATCATTAATACCGCTTCGTAAATAAATGTCAAATTCATTTCTATTCTTACGTACATGTACCTCCTATCTTAATTTTTCGTATCATATTAGAATATGAGATGCTCAATTACATTATATGAGAATCTGTAAACATTCCATTAAGATCAGGAGGTCATTGTATAGGAAAAGTTAAGGAAATAAGACGTTTACCCCTATCTCATGTTTTTGGATAACAAAAAACAAAGTAGGACGTTCGATAATGCATATTCTGCAAAATGATTATCAAATCTAGTTTTTGGTAATTCCGGGCTGACTAAGACAGATTACAACAAGAATGTGTCATTAGTACACGAATGCCCCACAGGCACTATCATTTTCTATGTTCAGTGAACCGTAAAATTTAGGGTCAAAACTATAATTTGGCATTAAAATTAGAAAGATCATATCATAAGGAACATGTGTATTAAGTTTCAAGTTGATTGGACTTCAACTTCATCAAAAATTACCTCGACCAAAAAAGTTAACCTGAAGCGGGACGGACGGACGAACGAACGGTCGCACAGACCGAAAAACATAATGTCTCTCTACTATCGTAGGTGGGGCATAAAAACAATGAAATCGACATTGTATATCTTATATAACTGGTATCATGTCGGTTATTTTGTCATATAAACTCATCAAAGATACCAGACTTATCATTTAGTACACAAGCGTTTCGTCTAGATCAGACTCATCAATGGCGATCACATCATAGCTGGAATACATAATCATATACGAAGTTAAACATGCTTTCTGAATAGAGTTGAAAACCAAAAATTCCGAAAAGTCGTCCAAATACAGCTACGGGAATATATTTGAGGGAGACAAAATACATCAGTGTTTAGAATAATTCAATTTTGTTAAGATGACTACTGATCTTGTGATACCATCGGGGACGAAACGTCAACAAGTGGCAACGACCAAGTGGTTATAAAAACTCAAGGGTACCAGGCTTACCATTTAATACGCCAGACGCGCTTTTCGTTTTCATAGACTCATCAGTGGCGCTTGAATCAGGACGCTGGTTTTTTCGTTTGAATTATGTCACATCTCTCATATCGGGGCTTTAACAGCTATACGGTATGGGTCTTGCTCATTGTTGAATGCCGAACGGTGATCTATACTTGCTCATATCGTTTATCGCGTCAGAAAGGGTGTGTTTTGAAAAGGAAAAGGTCATACTTCTACTTATAAACTTTAAGCGATCATCAAGTTTGCACATAATCCGATTAGCAAGCGTTTATTTGAACGATTTAATACTGTTGTAAAAGAGGGACGAAAGATACCAGAGGGACAGTCAAACTCATAGATCGAAAACAAACTGACAACTGTAAATTATATCGTTTTCGAACTGAAACTTATTTTTTTTTTATAAATATCAATCTTAAAAAAAAACCCGATAAACTCATATTTTGATTCGTAAATTTACTGCTTCTTAAACACTTTGTCTATCTAATAAATTTTAGTATTTCTGTTTGATCACTGTGATGTGACTGGTATTAATATTGTTAAACAGTATCTGAATTCAAAAACGATTTTCTGAAATAAATTGACAAGAAGCTAGCGTCTTCCGTCAAATGCACGTTCTACCAACTAGATGTTGTCATCTCACTAAATAACTTAGGTTTTGGTGACTTTTCATGTATGTTAAGTGCATCTATTACATGTAACTTCAATAATAGGATACAGCAGATACAGTTACGTCTGTCATCTCTTGATTAAAATCTAGAAATTGTATTTGTGCTTTACTGCGTATCAATTTAGATTACTAACGTTGTTATGTGTTTGACGACAACAAAAACACATATTTTAACAAACATATTGTGACATAACTCTTAGAATTCAGTTAGACCAGATGTATGGGCCACATATGAACTAGAAAAATTCTGGAAACGCACCAAATCGTCGCATCTTGCATGGAGATATGTAGGAACTATATCTGGTGTCATGCGTGCATATCCTGGTGTTTTATTGGAAAAAACATATGATCACAAAAAACGAGCTTGGTAAGTGATAAATATAGACTAAAAAGTGTGTAGGAATGTTAAAGTTTAGGTGATTAAATGCAAAGTAATTATCTAAGCGTTTAGGAGCATTAATCTTAAAATTAAGCTACATAGAAACAGTCAGTTTGAAATACATTTCTTTGACCTTCCTTTTTTTGATTGAACCATTAAGATTTTTTTTTAAATTGTTAAGTTTGTTACAAAATTATTTATAAAGATAACATGGATAAGTTCACGAACCATTTAATATCGTATCACCCTTCTACCTAATTAAACACATCAAAGCATATTAGCAGCTTTCATAAAAAATAAAGAAATTTGTAAAAGCAATTATTAAAAGAAAACAAATATTCGAATATGTCCTGTTCCGTTCAGTTTCTACTTTTAACGAACAACAGAATAGATACAAGTGAGTACAACGGTTACTGTTACCAATTCAGAGCACCTTAGGTTATTGTTCTTGTGCTTTTGTTGTATGCGTGTGTGAAGTTCGTATCTATGTTTCGATTCCTTAGTTTAATAATTATTGAATATCGTTTGTTTTATAGACTTATTAATTATTTAATTAGCTCAATGTTGTCTTTTAAAAATTATTATAGGTTTAGACAAACCGTTGCACATCCCGAAACAATGTTTGTAACACCACCATATGATGACGCTTGGGGGTCTGGAATATTGATTTCCCTAGAACATACAATATACAAAAGAAAGTAAGATGGTTAAGATGTATACCCTTTTTAAAAATTTGTCAAATACTATTATTTGAATCAGTTATATTTGTAACTATAGCAATATTTCTTTAATAAATTATCCAATTGAGTAATAAATGAAAAGGAAGTTTTATAAAAGAAAGCGAGATATCTCAATCGGCTACCCTTTAAAAGGTTGGCACTATTTAAAGTGCATAAATAGACGCAATAATAAGGTTTTCAAGGAAACAGATGTACATACATTTTAAGTTGAAGAATTTTGAATAATGACAAAAATTCAAATTCTAGAAGCAAAAATTGAACCTATCTAAATATACAGAACAATTATCAACAGAATGGAAAACATGTATTTTATGTATTTTGAGTTGAACTGCAATTTCCTTTTATGACACTTCAGATTTTAATGAAAAAAAGAACCATCAAGGCATACACTAACACGAATTGGTTGACTGTTAAAACGAGTTACTAATTCTTATTCATACAAAGAACTCAAAGTATGCCAACCATATGTAGATTTCGAGAAAAAAATTAAACAGCTGATTTTGAAAATTGTATATAGCTGTTAGAGAAAAAGAATGAAACATTTTCTTGGCTCACTTCACGCGTTTTGGTCATTTTCTTGTAACCCAATCATTACCTTTTTGTGTAGTATTTTATTGCCTATCTTTTTCAAAATTCGTATCTTTTCTTGTTTCCCTTGGCCTTTGTGTTGTCTCTCTTTTTGCTACCTTTTGTGTATTAATGTCCCCATGTTTTCTTTTTTTTTCTTTTTCTTTTTTTTCCTTATTGTTTTACTTTTCTGTTATTTAGTTCAAAACAAGTAACAGCTGTCGTTGGAACAGATTTCCCACTGCAATATTTCAGCTGGTTCATTGACCAGGTATACCCATCTTGTTCCTTGCCAGAGTACAGGTAATTTACACACATCTTTATATTTCCCGTGTGAACAACTCAAAATTAACGCGATGATAAAAAAAAATGACAACATTCAATGTTAAACGGAATTAACGGAACTAGATCCTAGTATTTATCGACAATATTTGATTCTCAAACAATCGAAAATCTAAAAAATCAATATGTTACGGCTTGTTCAAATTTAATAAAAAAAAAATCATATATGCTACTATTTAACAATATAAAAGACCATCATCAAAGACTGTTATAGTAATTGATGCATAGTGCTGTATATTACGCACTATGCAAGTCTACAAATTTACTAAAGACGTGCTATTTTAACCTATAAAGTGTATAAGTAATGTATAAATTACAAGACATTTGAACAATAACGTGCATTTTTATCGTATACATTGCAGTACTCTAAGATAACTTCTCATTAAGAAAGGAGTTTGCTCAATCTTTTTTGTTGGTAGTGTTTGTCAGGTTTTCAAATTGCAATAAGTAATAGGTTTATATTATTTTAATTTTGTATTTTTACTGCATGTAAATAGATATTAAAGAAAAAGGTATCTGCAGCTTAAACATACTTTAATTACGTTTGCTTAGGTGTATCATTATTGAAGACAGTGGATTTATAGTGATGCACCCAACATTTAAGGAGAGCTCAAATAAAACAAAGTTCGAGAAGTTTAATCATATAACAGTTGAGGTATGATTAATTTCTATACATCCCTTTTAACTAACCTTGATAGAAAGTTTTCAATTATTATTTCCTATTGTTAACATCAAAGCTCTTCTGTAGCTAGCAATATGATAATCTGTTGTTCACTCATTTCAGTTAATGAATTGAGCCTTTAGGGTGTTGTTAGTGATGTAATACACTTTGTTTGAATGGTTAATTGTTCCCTTTTCATCGTTAAATCTCTTATTTTCAATACGTCTAATTATAAGATGAGTTAACTTTAAAAGTGTAAGAGTAAGTGTATGTGTATAATGCAGCAATTTAATAAAAAAAAAAGCAACAGCACTTGTACATCTTATGTTCTCGCTAGTAAATGGAATATGGGCTGAAATGACAATTTTTACATGACATATCCTTAAACGTAAGTGAGATGATTAATGAAAAATGTTTATCATTTTGTCGGTAATAAATATTTATTCACTGCAGCTAGTTTAGTGTTGTTTCAGTCCTTGTCAAGTATTACATTTTAAACTGTATTTGTTTGATTTTCAGTAATTGCCATGCAACTGTGCAGCACACACAAGTAAACAAATTATTTGATTCAAATTGTCTGAACAACACATTATTGACTGCAACGGAATAAATATCACAGCAAGAAAATAACTTAATCTCCCTGGATGAACAAACAGTTAAATATTAACACATATTCCATGATAACATGGTTAAAGGGATCAAACTGACTGTTTCAAACAAATATCTTCTAATTTTACTTGTGTTATAAGTGTGTAAAAGGCTGTTTGAATTACATAAACAAAATTAGAAAACAAGCAAGGTCTTTTGAGGCCACTTAAATTAAACTTTTTGATTTCTATTTATTAAGTTAAATGCATTCAACTTCCCAATTATCAATTTCCCATTTCTCAGCAGTAACATACCCTCTGCCCCGTCGTATGGTGGTTACATATCTCTATCGATACGTCATGCTCGAGCATGTTCACACTATACGGACTTCATACAAAGGAGTATCTCCTTACGCAGAAACTGCTCCAACAGAGTTATGAGGAGGAAAGATTAAAAATGTCACTCTGTAAATTTTATGGACACCATCACGAATTGGTTGATCTATACGATGTGTCTGTGTCTAAACTAACTAAGGACATTTATATTTTACCACGTCTTAGATTGTGGTTTACCATCTACGTCGTCTGGTCTCCTTAGTATCGAACGTGACCTATTCCCCTTTATGACTGTTTTGCCGAGTGAATTCACATTGCAATTTGATGTTTCTTTTGTAAGTCTGGTTGGATATTTTGTTATGTCTTATGTTCACTGTTGGAGACGACGTGGTTTGATATTTATATATCCCCTTTCGGGCATGTTATTGTTACATTCTTATACGTGTGGGTCCGGTGGGTCATTATGTGCTGAGTTGTTGTCTGTTTATTGCGTTTGTGGTTTGAAATTTGTATTTTCGGTACCTTTCACATAATGTTTTATTTGTCAGTATAGTCGAGTTACTCGTGGTTCGTCTACAGGGTTTTTGTTTTATGTTGTTTGTCTTCATGTGTGTTTACTGTTTGGTCTTGCATGATCTTGCCTTATATTACAGTTATTTTATTTTTATTTTCTATATGTATGTAAAAATTAAGATAAAAAATCAGCTACTTCATTTATATGATTTTAAGTTTAAAGTAACTACAATTCCATTTTAATATTCTTGTCATGGTTAGAAAATACATAAAATGACACCATTACAAACTCAATCTCAATTTAATATTCTTGTACGTGTCAATAAATAAAACAAATCTATTTTATTTCTAGAAATTTACCTGTGATAATATAAACGTCACAAAAAATACGTCCCTTTTTGTGACGTTGATCTATTCATGTGACGCGCAGTTTATATTACGTTCGTGGTGCCCTGGTTTGCTGTCGTAAATTCGTGGGAGGTATTCGTTGTTATTCTGCGGTTTACATGTTGTAATGTACTTTTATATTATCTATTGATGTATTTCTCTTTTCTGAGTGATCTTGCGATTGTCTGGACTGTATTCCACATGTTTCTGTCACGTAGTATTGTCATTTTAGCGGTATTTGTAACATTGCCATATTAGCGGGAGGTTTGGCTAGCCATAAAACCAGGTTCAACCCATCATTTTTTCTTAAAATGTCCTGTACCAAGTCAGGAATGTGGCAGTTGTTATCTACAGTCCGTTTCTATGTATTTTGGCGTCTGCTTTTGTTGTAGTTCAGTGTTTCTGTTGTTCCGTTGTTTTCCTCTTGTAGTTGATATGTTTCCCTCGGTTTTAGTTTGTAACCCGGATTTGTTTTTGCTTATTCGAATTATGACTATCGAACAGCGGTTTACTATTGTTGCCTTTATTTATATAACACCGTTACAAAAGCATATTCGAAGTACATGTGTTGTATTTTGAAGAGAAAACATGAACTCAAATCATGGTAATAACCGTGCACATTTCAAAGGGCACACTATATCAGTTAGAATTTCAGTTGAGAATAGTCATTAAAGCAAAAGCGTTAACTTATAATTGAACAGAGTGTTAAAAATCAATGTATTGAATTTGTATTAGTAATTTTTAAACTTTATCCTGTCGTAGAATAAGTCATAAGTGATATATCAATTTTTTTTTTTATTTCGTTGACCAGGAAACCAATTATTAGATTATTAGTATGAGACGAGATATTTTTTTTTGATGAAATCAGATCTTTGTTCATAATTTTACTGTCGTTCCCCTGAAGTGTAAAAAACTGATGGCGATTTGATGACATATTATCATTTGGTCTTACCACATTTTGAAGAGCAGGTTATTACTTATCAAACCCCTGGTTTACTGACTATGAAAACTGTGATCAATATCAAGGTATAAGTGGTCTATCCCCCTATCCAAACTTTTTCTAGGTTTTCGATAAATATCATTAATTAATATCAAATCGTTCAATAGGTCGTGTTCTGCAATGCGTTTACTCTTCCGTTCATGATAAATTCAATTCTTATAGTAGAATGAGGTAATATCAAATTAAAGTACTGACTTATAAAGAAAGAGTCCATTTCATATCAAGCAACAGACAATTTGCAATTGTTGTTCAATCTTTTTTTGCATTCAGATAACCAGGAAAAAGTTGTTCTTATATAACCTATGATTTTACGAACACTTAAGGTGAAAGAACAGTAAATGGGCTATGTCACAGATTATGCTAAAATTTTGAATACAACCTTGGCTCGTTGAACTATAACAGAAAATCGAAAAAAAAATGCATCTATCTCTTTTATCAGCTGAAATATTACTGATTGGATTCTATCAAAAAGGATGAACATTTTTATAGAAAGCTCATAAAATCGACGAAAAGTCATCTTAAATGTGTCTTAAAATCATCAAATCTCTAATTTCTAATAACATATTTTTCTTACAAAGCTGTATGTTGTTGATACATACATTTCTGTTTCAATGATATAAAATATTCATTTGATCACCGACTTCGTTTTTGTCTAATACAATTTGTTACCTAGTTGGTATTGAGAATCGTCAAAAATTAACGTTTTACGGCCTGCAAAGCGATGACGTTACGATTATTTCGACCTTTTTTTGGTATTTTTGCACATAGAACTCCACTTTGAATGATGTTTACCGTAAAAACGAAGTCGGTGACCCTCTCTTTATTTTACATCATTAAAACGAAAATTTATGTATCAACAACATATAGTTTTTAAAAACAATATAAAGGTATTAGAAATTACAGTTTTGATGATTTTAAGACAAATCTAAGAAGGTTTTTTGCCGATTTTATGTGCTTTTTATACAAATTTTCACCTATTTTATAATTCAACCAGTAATATTTCAATTGATAAAAGAGATAAATGCATTATATTTTCGATTTTCAGTTGTAGTTCATTGAGCCAGAGTTGTACAAAGATCTTTGTAAATTTCTAGGAACCTAATCTAGCTGCTGAATTGGAAAAAGAACTAATACTGAATGAACAAGAATGTCAGGACATAGCAGAAAAAAAAGAAAGGCGTTCTTTTCGGGTATTGTTTCCATACAGACTTAATAGATTCTGCATCAGGCAATAATAAAAATAAGGAAAACTGGTAAAATCAGTCAATTTCTTCATAAACCATTTGAGCGAAAATCAAGATATCAACAAAAGGTTTCATTGCGTGGCCTAATAATGACAGTTAAGTACATTTAGTATAAAAGATTAAACACCAGTTTGGATATACAACATCATCATTCATGAATGGTTTAATTCAGTGGTTGTCGTTTTTTGCTGTGTAACATATTTGGTTCTCAGTCATTATTTTGTATATAAGTTTGAACTGTTTTACATTTGTCATTTCGGGGCCTTTTATAGCTGACTATGCGGTATGGGTTTTACACATTGTTGAAGGCTGTACGGTGACCTATAGTTGTTAATTTCTGTGTCATTTTGGTATCTTGTGGAGAGTTGTCTCATTGGCAATCATACCACATCTTCTTATTTTTATATAGAAAAACTAAAGACTGAGCAACACGAACCCTACCAAAAACCGGGGATGCTATCATGTGCTCCGGAAGGGGAAGCAGATCCCTTACTAGTTGCACAAACATATACAAACGTAGTAAATCTTAAAAGTAATGGACGAGTACACAAAATTAATCTTGAAATACGCATCGGGCGCATATAATTAATTAAGTATTATTTTCATTCTTAAAAGTGATCAGTATCAGCTTTGTGCAATTCATATCAATTGACCGATTGTGTATCCAATGTTAGTATAATTTTGACATGTTCCAATTAGGAACAATCGTTAAACTGGTCCTAATATTTATTAATTTGATCTATTTATAGATTTTTCAGAACTATACATTTTTTTATTTTTCATTTTAGACTTTTGAAAAAAATCTTAAATGGAATAAACTTCGCGTCTAATTATTCAAACTGTTCAGTGTTTGGAAGTTGTTATAACGAAATGATACTTAAAAAGAGTTTGCTGCATTCTTTTTGATTTCTTGAACTTAGAAACAACTCACAAAATATTACTTTGAAGGTGACTTTGCCAAATAGAAGTGGACTAGGCTTTGCAGATACAAATGACAAGTTTGAAATAAGACCTATTCCAGAAACAAATATTTTTATCATAAGACACAAAAATCCATCCTCATTATCAACAACTGGTTGTGTTTGTGTAAGTATGTCATTATAACCACTGCAATATTGACAACATATTAAGGATGTTTGCTGATCTCGTTATTGACTTTTTGTCAGATATTGGGAATCCTCTTGTTCTATCCATATGTAATGCCATTAAAAATTTTGCCCGCTAACCCTTAATTTTCTTTTTATACTATATTACAAATAGTTGAAGATTCCATTCTTGAAAATCTTATAAAATCCTTGTTTTATATAGTTTTGAAAGAAAAATGGTGTCAATGTTAAATGTATGAAAGATATAGAGATACTTCCCGCCAAATTTCAATGACTTATATATCAAAAACAAGGGCACAGACCTTTAATATTTTTCTGTTTAAGTTCCGTTATTTGTATACTATCAATTTAAAACAGTCTTTTCAAAAGCTTGTTATTTTGAAATAGAGCAGCGAACATCCTTAAGCTTTTCCATAATGATTTTTCTATCTATGTCCTTGATATGAGATTGATTTAAGATCGTAATGCTGCGAACAATTGCAAACTGCCAGTTTATATTCTTTATATATCTATTAAATGAAAAACGAGTATTTATCCAGTTGTCAAATTTAAAAACAAGGATAAAAAAATATTTACGTAGCTTTTGTACCTTAGAAATTTATAATATAAACATGTCGGACATGGAGTGACAATTTTCTATTGGTAAAAGATCACAATTTGCAGTCGATGTTACTGCTGGTGGAATTTTTTTTCATCGAGGGTATCACCAGCCCAGAAGTCAGCAATTCTGTGTTGACATGCATTATCATTGATATGGTCATAATTATAAATAAACTGTTTACAAAACTTTGAATTTTTTAAATACTAAGGCTTTTCTACCTCAGGAATAGATTACCTTAGCTGTATTCGGCAAAACTTTTAGGAATTTTTGGTCCTCAATGCTCTTCAACTTCGTTCTTTATTTGGCCGTTTTAACATTTTTTTATTCGAGCGTCACTGATGAGTCGTTTGTAGACGAAATGCGCGTCGGGCGTAAATACAAAATTTCAATCCTGGTATCTAAGATGAGTTTATTTACAACCACTGGGTCGATGCCACTGCTGGTGGAGTTTTTATTCCACGAGGGTATCACCAGCCCAGTAGTCAGCACTTCTGTGTTGACATGAGTTATCATTGATATGGTCATAATTATAAATTAACTGTTTACAAAACTTTGAATGTTTGAAATACTAAGGCTTTTCTACCTCAGGAATAGATTACCTTAGCTGTATTTGGCAAAACTTTTAGGATTTTTTGTTACTCAGTGCTCTTCAACTTCGTACTTTATTTTGCATTTTTAACTTTTTTTGGTTCGAGCGTCACTGATGAGTCTTCTTATAGACGAAACGCGCGTCTGGCGCAAATACAAAATTTCAATCCTGGTATCTATGATGAGTTTATTTACTTGTATATTATAATTCATATTTACAACAATAGGAAAAATCTATTCCAACCGCGTAAAGATGGAAATCCTAAATCATGATACACAACTTTATAGGAAAACGAATATGAAGGATGGACACAAGGTACAAAAACAATTGAACCTACTAATAAAGCCTATTTTGTATTTAACACATGTAGTACATTGTACCACCGAATACGGTCTACACCGATGAGATAACTAGGCAAAGACAAATATGTATAAGAAAATGTTTGATACACGCATGATAGCGATTATTACCTTCAATAGGCAAATTTATTACGTTTGAAATGAAACGAATGCGTCAATTTAATCTAGATAATTTAATGTGTCTTTTCGCATTGATGTGACGGTTGATTTTAAAAAAAAGTCAAAAAGATTCACTCCATTTTGACCTTACTTTGAAAACTGCAAGAAAAACATAGCTGAGAACAATTTAAATATTACCTAATTATCTAAATCATTTAAACTAATTATGTATATCAAATTCTTTTACAGGATAAAAATATAAAACCAAATTTAAGAACCTGTAAACCATGCGAAGATTGTCTCTGTTTTAATTCCATAACATATCATTTTTGTTTAAACATTTACAACATGTAAGTTTAATTACAACAATAATGAAGTATTATACGTACACAACTTACAAAAAGCTATATTAAAAAATAAAATAACATATGCAAATGTTATTTTGAAAAGCAGCAGTGTGAATCTCAAAGAAGTGTTAAATATAATTCAAAGTAAACCATTCTTTGCGTTTTATGCTGTTTTTATAAACTTTAATTAGTTAACTATAAACGAAACAAACATATAGCAAAATAAGGCCAAAGACGGTCAGACAAAATACCCAATTATACAAATAAAATGTGCATTCATTTATTTATTTTCTTTTATACCAATTTTTAAGGTAGAGGAAAAATTACATATCCTTAGATACATGAATACATGTATGTGGTTTTAACTAATTCTTCAGCAAATTTCTATTTGGGTAAACGATGAAACTCGTGGTTCACCTATACAAGCGATGTCAACGGAAATGAAAATAACACTAAATAAACTTTGTGTGTCCAAAGCGCTTTCATGGATTTACTTAAATCAGAAACACTTAAACCACATTTTTTGATGGCCAGGGATGTATAAATTCGTAAAAACTGTTAGAGTTGTATGACCAAAATAGGTACTCTAGGTGCAAAATATAACATTATATATAATGATCCTGTGAGATAAAATAGATATATAACGTTGATATTATACCTATGTAGTATTCAATAAACTGTATATTGTACTTAATATGTTTTCTATTATCGTCAATATTGTATAAAAACAATATTCATGTATAGACATACAATTGCGGATAAACTTTTGCAAACTATGATGTCAAACAATGTCTTTCTCATGGTTAGTTAAAAAAAGGATAGATCCGTAATACTCTTTTTGTTTACATATTAGTATATATGTCGGTGATATGTAAGCTTTGTATCGATCTGATGATTTGAGCCCTTTTCAACTGATTTTTATAGTTTGTTCTGATGTTGTACTGTTACACCTCTGTCCAAGGTTAGGGGAGGGTTGGCGCGCCTTCAAACTAGTTTAACCCCGCCACATTCTGTTTGTGTACCTGTCACAAGTCATGAGCCAGTTATTAAGTGGTTGTCGTATGTTGCTGATTATCAAATTTGTTTTTGTTCATTATTTTGTACGTAAATCTGGCCGTTAGTTTTCTCGTTTGAATTGTATTATATTTGCCATTTTGAGGCCTTTTATAGCCGACTATGTGGTGTGGATTTTACTCATTGTTGTAGGCCGTACGGTGACCTATAGTTGTTAATTTCTGTGTCATTTGGTCTCTTGTGGAGAGCTGTCTCATTGGCAATCATACCATATCTTCTTATTTTCATAAGTTACAATTAAGTACAAGTAATTGATAATGGTTGATCAATGAAGATCAGGTCATAAATGGTATGAAACCTATTTTCGACTTGACAACTCGCGAATAAATTCAGTGGTTTGTATACAAGTTTTACACCAAAATTTGTCTTGTCTTGTATGATAATTTCTAAAGTATAAATATACTGCGAATCTGCATATAACCGACGTGACTAATCATGACTATGCATGCCGCAAAGCCGAAATGAAATATTTAAAGAAATACTGTAAATTCAGAAATTATTGCGAGGTCTTTATTAATGCGAATAATGCGACTGTGTGAGTATCGTAATAATAAAAACTCGCATTTTGATTTTTGATACATATATTTGTATAAATATATGAAATGCATTTTGAAGGAACATGAAAGGTTTTCAATCTTTAAAACAATTCAGCGATCGTTGTATGACATTTATGTTATAACCAGCATAGACGACCAACTTAACTTTTTTATCATCAGTTATGCCATGACTCCGATATGAACTATATTTCACACGAGAAAAATTTAAAAATCGTAATTACTGTTTCTTCAACTTCAACATGTTATTCTTCTAAAGTTTATTTTTACTAAAGCCATTCCAGCAATCCTTGCAGTGCATCTGTCCCTGATACTTCCGGTACGAGTTCACGGGACAACGTTACAGGGTTACAAACGTGTTTTAACCCAAACTGTCATGAAAAAGACACTAAAACGTAAGTATTTACTCATAGGGGGATGAAATGTATATTCTAGGCTATTGGATTAATCAGTATTAGTTCGAGTACTAAAACAGTCAGGTTCCTTTTTCATTTATTTGCTCAAATGTATGGGTTACAAATAACAAAATATATGTTGTATAAGCTCAGGCTGAAAGGGAGGGTGAAATAAGTAAAGCAGGATAGGCTTGATCGTCTGGAGCACTCGAGATCACCCAAGGTTTATTTATGGTTCGTGTTGCGCAGTCTTTCGGTGTCTGTAAAGTGTTTTGTAGACTGTTGTTTGTCTATATTACAACTTGTTAACAAATAAGAGTGCTTACTTCCAAATTAGACTAAGCGTCGTTTTTTCTTCATAGGAAGCTTGACTCTCTCCCTTAGTGACGCAAGAACAGCGTTTTTAGGACTTAATTTCAGACTTTTATTTTCAGAGTTCATAATGGTCATTCCTATGTTTTTATACACATTTTGTTTGGTCGGTTTCCCTTTTTATTCGCGAAACCCATGCTAAGTATCGGAAGATTGCATTATTTTATTGTCTTTCACTATGCTATGTATTAAATTTATTTTAATGGATTTATGGGATTTGAACATCGGTAACTATAGTTGCCTCCAATGCACGTTTTGTTAATTTTACTTTTGATTTATTTTTAATTACCATCTGACGATTGTCCTTCTGATAGAAGGAATAAATGATGCTCAGACTTGTATTTGTACACCTTTTAAGGGAAAGTATACGGTCTTACTCATGACTGTCCGTTCGTCCAAATGTCCGTCCATCTCCTGAAATTCCCGTTGCATTTTGTTAAGGAACTACAAATCACAGCTACCTGACACTATGTTCCAGACTTTATATAGATATTCTTAACTATATGAAACGTTTTAAAATTCATGGCATATCAACAATTTGTTTACCGAATACCTATATATTCTTACACATTGTTAAATTTTCGTTTCATTGTTCTCAGGAACGACGAATCAAAACTGTGTAAAACTCTGTCAATAGGCATTGTATGGTTTGTGATGCATTTGTAGATTAAACATTCTTCAACTTTTTCTTTACCGAATTCTTGTTAACTGTCACATGCAATGACCATGTACAATATTTACGTCACATTCGTCATAGTATATTTCCGTACTCCTAACAACAAAATTATTATATCTAAATTTACCGGTGTACGTTATTTTATTTAACGTCATTTTGTTTAAGGTTATAGTTGTCTTTTTGACATTGTTTTACATCCCCCTTTTTTTTAATATTGTATTCATATTGTGTCATAGATAAAATTTATCCGTTCAGTGTATGTTTACTTGTTTTTGTTAATATGTCTTTTTGATTGAGTTAAGCCATTTCAATTGATATTTTATAGTGTGTCTATTTTGTAATGATCAGTACTATTTCAGGTTTGGGTGAAGGTTGGCGCCTGTTAAAACGTTTAAACCCGCTGTATTTGTTTGCACCTGCCATAAGTCAGGAACCTGTTGTTCAGTTGTTGTCGTTTGTTGATTTGGTTCTTAGGTGTTTCTCGTTGCTCGTTTTTTATATAGATTAGAGTGTTGGTTCTGCTGTTTGAATTGTTTTACACCAGTCATTTTGGGGCCCTTTATAGCTTGCTGTTCGGTGTGAGCCAAGGCTCCGTGTTGAAGGCAATACTTTGACCTGTAATTGTTTACTTTTTACACATTGTGACATACCACATCTTCGTATTTCTATGTATAAAAGCACCCTGCAATTTGGTATCAGGCTTTATGTGAGCATGCTATATATACAATGTAAAGCATTGCTTCCCTACTTCCTGTTCTTTCGCCTCTCCTTGCCGACCTCTTCGTATTTTTATATGAGTCGGAGTTCCTTCAGACACTTATCAGAAACAATTTCAAAGAAGGCAGATCAATTAATTTTACTTTCAGATATATCGATGATGTTCTTTCCATTAAGTATCCGAACTTTTCTGATTGGTTTCAATTAATATACCCTCCCGACATAGAAATAAAAGAAACAACAGACACGGCTTCCTCCGCCTCATTTTAGACTTATACCTCGAATTTGACATAAGCGGTCATCTCAGTACTAGAATCTATGACAAACGAGAAGATTTTGATTTTGAAATTATAAATTTCCCGCACCTCAGCAGCAATAAACCAACTTCACATCCATATGGGATATACATTTCCCAACTCGTTCGATATTCAAGAGCTTGCAACTTCTACTCAGACTTAATAAAAACGTCACTAGTGTCTGAGCAAAAAGTAAATGAACCAGGGTTATGCAAAGAACGTCTCGTCCTTTTTCTAAAAAAAGTTCATCGGAAGTAACAAAGACCTTGTTGATAAATATTCCGTATCAACTTCACAAATTGTACATGATGGTCTTGAAATATAGAATATAGGTACTGACGTTGTGTCTCATCTTGATTACGTGTTATGGTGTTCTTTTTATTTGTTTTGTATATTTTTAACCTTCACTGTTTAGTCCATTGGTGGTAATATACTTTTGGCGTGGCTCGGTATTTATACATCCCGCCATTGTGTTATTGTGCTATGGTCATTTTTGTATTCTTGTCTTACTTACTGCTTATGTACTTTGTCTATAGAGTGTTTATATGCCATTTTGTTTTTCTTTGTTGAAATAGTTATTTGTTTTAAAGTGATTACTGCTGTACCCTAATTTTTGACATTTTTACCTTTTATGTTTTTTGTTTTGTTCACACATTGTTGTCAATATAATGAAATTATATGCTACTGTCATACAAGTGAGAGGTTTAGTAAGCTATAAAATCAGGTTTAATCTACCATTTTCTACATTAGGAAATGCCTGTACCACGTCAGGAATATGAAAGTTTTTTTCAATCCGTTTGATGTGTTTAAGCTTTCGATTTTGCCATTTAATAAAGGACTTTCCGTTTTTGAATTTTCCTTCAAGTTGGTATTTTTGTTATTTTGATTTTAACGAATAGTTATAGAGGTGGTTCCATTAGTTTGCAAGTGCTCTTATTTTAACTTACCTATTTCCATTGCTTTTTCTTTCAGAAAATGTTTCAGTGAAGCCGAGTGTGGATGGTGTGAGTTTACCGATGAAGAAAATGAATTGACCCCCAATTGTTGCAGACTTAAAGAAGATTGTTCTTTTGGGAAAACAAAATCCACAAACAGAGACACATGTGCAGGTAAATGCAGAAATTAATCTTTATCGTCTATCTATTTACATATCTAAAAAATACTGTATGGTAATATACACTATTTAACAGTATTTAATAAAATTAAGGGGATAGGGTAAGAAGGAAAGACAACAGCATGACAAGAGGACGACAGAAAACAGCTATCGCCTTAAAAATGCATAGAAAAGAAACGCTGAGCAACAAAAATCACAACAAGACGCGGGATAGACTCTGATGCTCCGAGGGTTACAGTCCTCACTTTCCTAAAGTATATGGCGTTATCCAAACAACAGGTAAATATTCGGTGATAATTTGCAGTCTGTGACAAGGCGGTAACGCGGAACGCGATAATGCTACGTTAATGGAATATATCCATAACCAGCTATGACACAGATATTTCGTAAACTACAATTAAGTCATGATGGTTCCGTATATCTTTGCGGTTGGTTCAACTGATACCTTGTAAACAGCAACTTAAGTAAAATATCAAGGAAATGCAAGCACAGGAATAAGTATGTTGCTGGGAGATGTAAACACCATGTTCAGGTATTTGTGGAATGTCGTTGCGATAAATAGAAAGTTCTCAATAGAAACATAAAAAAACCAGACTATCGGATCCCTCATCAAAATCACCTTTTTTTGTTTTAGTTTAATACTGCCAACTTTCAATATCGATTTCTGTTTGATTGTCAAAGTTGCGATTAACATGAACACTAAACATTGATTCTTCTTTGAAATCATCCATTTAAAGGGTCCTGCAAATACGGATATTCCTAGGATTTTGTTTTTCTTTTATTCTTCTAGAGAGCCTCTACGTGAATTGTATGCGTTATACCAAAGGAGAAACATATCAGTGAATAATAACATTATTATGGTCTATAGAATGTAAAGGCAAACATGAGTAAAGTTTGACAGATTATTCACAAAGAATTTAGTAATTTTAATGAAAACCGCTGTTTTGCGTTTTATCATTTTGTGCTCAAATAGGATAGTTTTAACAGAAGTATGGGTTTTTTTCTAATGTCAAAATATTTGTATGTTAGGAAGTAAATCTAAATACTTTTCAAGAGTTACATTTTGTTTTTAGTTTGACTTTTTGTGTCAACAAATAAGTTTAGCAAACATCAAGCCAAACTGTCAGAACAACATATTGTCCTTTATAGTATTTTATGTTTCATACATTTTATTTCAATACATGTATTGTATTTTTCTAGTACCTCATTCACCTGGGTCAAAAAACAATCCATCAGATTCCTCATCAACAGACACAACAGCACCGATTGTCGGTGGATTAGCTGCATTAGCTGCTATAATAGTTACTTTGGCTTCAATTGGTGCTGTTTATTGCATCAGACGACATAAACTGTGTGATGCTCGATATAAAGACAGTGATCCATACATTGATGCATGCCATGTGGACGAAGGGACAGGTTCGGGGGAGTTTGAAAACGACGGTATGTCCTTCTCAGGTAGTAGCGAATCTTCACACTACATGACAGCAAATCCTTATCAACATCCAGTACCCGAAAACAACTATACGGATACAACATTTAACCACGTGTGATCATACAATAAGTTGTCTACCTTTGATATAGAGGATTTGTTTTTGTGATTATGCGAAGCTATCACACTCATGACATAGATTAATACTTTACTTGTATTTTTGTGAGAAAGAAAGTTGTTCCTATTTATTCACTACTCGCGAACATGACTTTTGATTACATTTTTTTTTAACTTTTTTCTTTTTAGTCACTGTTAATAACGAATTTTATACAATCGAATCAGTAAACATGCCCTATCAGATGTGTTGTGCTAATAAACAAAGAAACATTGATACTAAATACACATACTAGATAGTATACTCCAAAATACAGTTCATCTTTTTTGTTAGATATTCTATATAGAACTTTGTTAAGCAGGTTAAGCAATACAATCATTGTGATGTAGGCTTCTAAAATATTATTTGGAATGCATTATATTTCGAAATTGTTAAATAGACGAAACTATTTACTCTGAACCAATGAGTCGTCGAGACCCTGTTGTTTATGAAAATAAATAACAGAAAGGTCGAAAAAAAAAGACATAAGAGTGTTATATTTGATCAGTTAATGTTACGCATATAGCGAAAGTAAGGCATTTACTTTAAAGCATACTGATGTTAAATATTATATAGATGCCATAAACCTTTTTCCCTGTTAATCAAAACATCAAATAGTTTACACACATAAATTACTATTCTTCATCCTCACTATTACCATAATCGTATTTAAATAGATTTAGCAGCAGGATTTTCTTTTTAAGATTTGTTTTGTTTAGGGTTTTTTCGAGTTTTACATAGACAATCAGGAGTTAATGATGTGGTAAAACAAAACCATATGAAACAAATTAAAGTGTGTATTTCTCACCTTTTTGAGTAACTTTCGTAAAGGGCACTACAAACAAAACGTAGATTGTTGATGAGGATACGCATCCCGACAGCATTGTATATCTGCTTCTATGTCGCTAATGACATTGCTCGAAAATCATTCAGAGTCTTGTATGTAAAGTTAAACTACCATTCTAATGCAACATCGTTTGTAACGTTCATTTTGACTGGATAACGTCACCAATATTCATGGCATCAATTCACAAATGATGGTATGAAAACGTACGCGCAAGCGCAGACAACGTATGACAGATTTTAAATGCATGCTTTGACGTTGTTTTCTGTCAGTTTCATTAGAATGGAGATAACAATATTATATTTTAAGCTCCGACGGCTTCAATTGGTGATTTGATGGTCGCAAATACCCGTTTACTGGCTCCGCTAACGCGTCGGCAGTAAACTTACATTGATGCCGTCAAAGTTTAAAATAAAATACAGTTATCTCCTAATTGACTTACGTTGTTTTGTTAGCAATAGCATGTAACTCATGTAATTTGTACCAATAAATCTTTTTTATTAGCATGAATATATATCTTGTGCGTGACATATTTTGATAGGGAAATTTACATTTAAGTTTAGAAAATTAGCATTGCTTTTTCCTAATGGACATCGGGTAGCATTGCTTCTTATATTTCCAACAACATTTTTTAATTTTAAAACTTATAACGGTTTGATCTTTAAAACGTACTGGATTTAAAGCATAATTATCTCATTTGATGTAATGTAAAATATATTTTTTAATGTGCCATGTTAAGTTCATTTATACATTGTAGTTGACATTAACACTTGAAATGTAATATTTTCAGGAAAAACTTGGTGTTTATGCAGTTAGTATTGTCGTTCTTTAGAATTATGTCAACATACATTCTAGGTTTAAAATATGTTAACCGTATATTTTATAAACTGCATTTTAACAAAACAATTACAATCAATCTATAGATTAATAGCTATAACAATATTTCTGTCGATAATGTTAATTTTATTTTTATTACTTTTATGGACAATTACGTGTATGGCAAAATAAATCAATTTATCCTCCAATTAGTCACCTATTGTACAAATAAGAGGTACACAAATACATTTATGCTTGTATAAATAAACTCTCCTGCTACACCGCTTCAATGTAATTGTTGAGCAAGTCGTCATGTGAATATTTCTGTTTGTGAAACAGTTCATTTTGGGTCCCATTCGCGGTACGCGTTTAAAATATGTCGATTTCTTTAAAATAATTGGAGACTTTTTGGATTTAAACATCTTAATCTTCAAGTGGCGGGTGTAAACTGCATGGTATATTTTCGTTTGTACTCGCTACGAAACAAGAGAAAAGCTCGGCCATCCTCGCTTTGCGTCCTGTTTCAAAAGCTCGTACAAATAAATGATCTATTTTCTGACAATGTACATATATTATATATGTATGTCTGTTTATTTACTGTCAATGTGGAAACATATACATCAGTTTACAAGACCTGTCGAAAAAATAACTTCTCATGTTTTTAATTTTTTCAAGTGCAAGCTATAATTTACCTCTAGTACATAAAAATTCATATTCTAATTTGATTTATTTTGATACAATGTATTACAGAGAAGTGTTTTCGGTAGAAAATATTCTTTTTTTTTTTTTTTTTTGTGTGTTTGTACATGTTTTATATGTCAGGTTGAAATACCTCTATTTCTCCTATAATGTCTGGTTGTCGAGATTGTCTGCTGTGAATAAAAATATTTATAGTAAACATACAAGTGTGATGTTCAGTATTAAAAATTCAAAAATCCTCAATGATTTCAAGGGCATAACTGCATAACCCGGTGAAATATATCTATAGATAGAAGCAGTTGTGTACTACTTCTAAGAGATTACTGCAACCACGACATATGGCAAAATTTTGGATACTTTGCTGGTTTGCATAGCGGTCATATTGCTTTATCGAGAGGACATTCAATAAAATAGGATTATACCTGCCCTGTATGAAAATTTACAATTATGCCAATTCCTAAGTAACATCAACAATTTGTTTGCATATAGGTTGATTGTTCGTGTACAACTGAACTGTTCTACTTTGAAAGCTTTCGGCCTTTTCAGTTTAAAAATCGGAAGCGTAACCGTAGTAACTTGCTATGTAAAATAACGAAAAATGATAAAAAGCAAGATTCAAAATAGAAATAAAGATACAAGAAGACAGTGTTCATGATTTGTTTGCATATAGGGAAACACCTTGCAGGCATAGTTTTCAGGTAACTTTTATCACACCTGCTTTCTTAGACCCAAAACGGAAAACGACTGGATTATCCGCAAAGGAGGAAATTAAATTAAAAGGGCCAAACTTACGTGGTGCAAATGATATGAAAAAAGTACTTAGGATTTTGCCATATGATTCAAACGTCAACTTTAAGTTTAGGCTTGCACACATAGTTATACGCAATATCCATTTTTCTTTTCGGGGACATGGACATCGTTTGTTGATCAAACTAGTTTCCTCTTATTCATATATAGAAAAGGAGATTGTATAAAAACATATTGTTCGACATTGCAGTATAACTGTATTCAGTATGGCAGATATCATCTTTCATGCATGACGTTAGGTTCTCAAATATGTGTCACCAGTGTACATTTTAAGATTCTCTCGATGGATTTCTTCTATTACATGTATAACTACTACATGATTTCTTTGTGGTTGTTATCGGGAATTCACTCACAGTTAAAGGGCGTAGAACAACTTAATACATAATGAGCTACAGGACCAAAATGGACATAAATATGAGAACAAAACCCCGCTGAGACCAATTTTGTCTAACTATAAGGGAACCTGTATTTGTTTATCATTTTTAAATTATCATCGTAGGTTTCATTAATGTTATATACCATTTTAGTGTCTGTCACTGATAACTGAGCAGTACCGAGGTTTTTAGACTACGTGTACATGAGAGCTTTCTAGTTTTTTATCCAGTACCTAGAACTATTCATTCAGAAACAACCTTTAGTCACGTGTAATGGACACATAATTGTTTTACCCTTGTTAAGGATACATTTGTGCTTCGGACAAAACGAAAAGCTGCGATTTGAGTACTTATTTGCCCCATAATAAAATATATTTGCCGATTTTGGAAACATCTGTTTGAACTATGTACTTGATAAAATATTACAATTTAGTTATAGATAATGCATATTTTAAGGTCTTTTTTGGTGTATAACACACCGAGTGGTGTGTTCTACGACAAGAAAAACCTTAAAATATGCATTATCTGACTTATATACCGTAAAAAAATATTATTTTCTACAAAGATTTGCAAGATTTCCATCATATTTTACCGACCACACTAAAGTGGGATATTCTTTTCTGATCCGTACTGGTTTTTATACGCCCTACGGCACATTTGAAACGTGAAATAAAACTCACTAATTAATCTAGATATAAGCTTTAGCATTCATTATCATTACTACATGAATTTGTTAAATCTGGTTTTTATTAGTGTTATGAAGGGTTTTGCATTATCAAATTCATCTCAAATATTGTCCCTTTATTGTAGCGATAAATTATCAAAATTTCACATTATTTGTTTTGGACGTTAAAATGTGCGTCCACGACTTTTTTGTGTAATTCAGTCTAAAAACAGATGACAAGATTGTTTATGTCTTTATTCATAGCACGCAATACTATCAAACGAATTAAATGTTTAAGTTAATTATAGTTTGCATTTTAATCAAGGAAAATAATGACCTTACACAGGTCATTATTTTCTACCTTAAAGCAAATTTCATTGAAACTTGGTATCGTCCGGGTTGATTCTTCAAAAAAAGACCTGACGTTCTGAAAGAAAATAACTCCACATAGGTATATAAATTATGTTTAACGTAAACTGTTGTCATGGGTTGTACAGCGACGGAAAGACAGTAAATTTCGTAATATGACACATTTACGCATAATCTTAACTATTCCACTTGTACATACATAGAAATAATAAAACATATTCCTGTTGCCAAAAAGATATGTTAGTAGATAAAATTTATTTTGTATATATCTCATAACATGGAAAAAAGTTTCGGGCGACACTGGCGCATTGTGTTAAATATTTAAAAAAGAAAATCTCCCTGTTAATATTACAGTAATGACGTCAAAGTCAATTTGTGATCAAAAGGCTATGTTTATATTCTCATTTATGGGAGCCTGTTTTTTTTTTTTCGAATGAATATAGAACAGTTCTTATAAAAAGTCAATGTTTTATTCTTTTAAGAATTTACAAGGCCGAAAAAAAATACCCCAAAATGTATCTTCACCTATTCATGTCATCTATCAAAATACTTTGCGCAATTTTGTAAAACAGATATTCATATTCATGTAATATTAATTGTCACTAATTTGGTTAAATGCATAATCAGAATGATGCAACATGTGCAAAATGAACGATGATTACATTGTTTTATCTTCGTGTTCATTAGTCAACGTAAATACTTAGCTATATAATCTTAATAAGTGCCCTATACAAGTTCTGTATTTTGTATTGAAAACCGAGAACAGTGATACAGCATAAACTATAGTATGTGACCTACCATTTGGAAATTAGAATTTTATAGGTTTATATATTAACAAAAAGTACAACTGATTATATATTTCCATGTAATTTCTAGACGGGCTCCCGACGTGTAAAATTATAGCCAGGTACTTTTGATTAGTTTTTCCACACTTGTTGACTCTCTTTTGGGTGAAACAAGGAATCATTGTTACCGAATATAACACATTTGTATCTTTGAAATCACAAACATTTTTTTGGCTGTAAATCAGACTTTACACAAATAAATACACGACTTTTTGTCGAAAATAGCTAGTACTATAATAAAGCTTAAATACACATTTCAACAATCCTTTTAGGCTTTCATTTTATTTATTTTTTTTTTTGGTGTCCTGAGTTTGAGCTTAACAATCAGTGGTTTGAACTATTGACAAAAAGAAGAATATGGCACAGATTAATCGTGCGCACGACAGGTCTTTCTTTAAAAACATTCGTCAGGAAATGACAGTTTGGTATTGTGTTTCTTCATCTGTCATGACTTTTGCTAAGCATACTTTTTTTTCCACCCGATTAGATATTTTTATAAACAATTGTTTCCTGCATTTTGTGTTGCAGAATATTCATTTTCATCCTGCCGTATGCAATGTTATTTATTTTCAGCTCTTACAAGGCCAGAATATAATTTATTGAAAATCCTCATGACTCATTTACCCTAGAAAATCAAGTGGTCTTCTCCTAAAGAACAGTTGAGCCTAGGACAAAAAAAAAACGAACAACATCTCCACTAACTCCATTGTTGTTGAACAAATAACTAGAAATATATTCTAGAGTCATGAATTTGGTTTTGTGTCCTTCAATTAATATCTGTCCAAGGCGAAAAGTAGTTTACAGGAATAATTCACCTCTAAAGAAAGATTCAATAGTTCAAAGTTTATAACCTCATTTCCCATTAAATTATGTGTATATATGTGTATGAAAAGGATGTTTAATACAACAAAGGAATCCACTGAAATAGTTTCCACATTAATTAAAAGTGTTGGTAATTCAAATGTTCACGCATAATTTTAAAACTTACTAGATTGCACTTGCATAAGCAACATGACTGGTGCCACATGTGGAGCAGGATCTTCGTACCGTTCCGCAGCACATGAAATTAATCACGAGATTTGGAGGGGTTCGTGTTGCTCAGTCTTTAGTTTTCTATGTTGAAGTGTGTATACTGTTGTTTCTTTGGCCTTTTTTGCATTATATAGTACTAAGAAGAAATGTTACAATCTACTCTTTATTAAAGAGGATAAAGGTCGTTTATGCATAGCGGAATATTCTCAAAAAAATTCTTCAATAGTCATTAATAATTCCGCTTTATGCATGTTTTCTTCTACTGGCACACGATTTTTTTCTGGTTGTCATCGGCTTTTCTGTGGTTGTCATCGGTGCTTCGCATATAGTTCCGGTACCAGACGTGGACAAATAAGGAACATCGCATTTGATCGGTTTTATTTCCTTGGGTTCTTCAACTGAAAAAAATGGAAAATGTTTTTAGTAATCGTTATAATTTTTACATGTTATATCATCACAAATTATTATCTGATACATTTATATCTTATATTTTCAAAATAAAAAGAAAAATGCAGATACCTAGGTCATACAAATTAGGAGTTAGAGACCCATCACCACAGCATACAATAACTCTAACAATACAATACATCAACCAAAATTAAGCATTTTGACCACCGCAACCATTGCAATCAAAAGTCCTTTTTTGTATATTTTTATTCCAATTGACCAAATGTTGGCATTATAACGGAACTATAATAATGTATAAATAACTCTCAAACAAGTGTGTGTGTGGAAAGGGGGCGGGGGGGGGGGGGAGGGGGGGGGGGGGGGGGGTAGCTAGCTATCTATAAAACCAGGTTAAACAGAAAAGCTTTTTCGGAAATTTCAAGTCAGGGATATGGCAGTTGTTTTTTTACTTGTTCCGTTGAATGATAGCGTTTGATTTTGCCGGTTTTTATGCCCCCTAAATGAATTTGCATTGGAGGTTGGTATTTTGTTATACTTTTTTATAGCAATTGTATATGCATAAACACTAAAAGGCGTATAATAAAAGCAGAATATGTTTTGATTAAACATATTTTGAACACGAATCAAAATAAACATAATGAATTAAAAATCACGTTGTTCCCAAATATATATGGGAGAATGTTCCCTACACTTTTACCCTTAAGTTA